AATTGTTTTTTTTTTCTTGTTGTTGTTTTAATTTTTTATTTTCTCAATACTGGTAATAAAGGTTATCTATCTATCTATCTATCTATTTTTTTATTATCTTAAAGGCAAAGGCAACAGCAGTTCTAAGTCATAAAAAGTAAGTTACTATAAGTATGTACTCTATGTTTTTTTTTATGGTGATAATGATATGGTCACCCCGCCTGCGCTATCGGTATACGCTGGCGGGGCACCAGTGACAGATGATAGGTGACGATGAAAGCAGGTCAGTTAGCCCATCGTGACAAATTGCACTAGAATTAACCACGATGGTTTCCAGGAGAACCGCGTGGAGGTCGACCTGATAGGGTATATTGCTAGCAATGGGGCAGTTAGACCCCATTACTAACAATCCCTTTCCCCCATGTACTATATGTATAATCGCCTTGTGAAGGGGAGGGAAGGAATTGTTAGTAATGCGGATTACTAGTCCCATTGTTAGCAATATACCCTATCAGGTTAACCTTTACGTGGAGTCCCCAGGAAACCACCATGCTAAATTCCAAGTGTATTCATCACAATGGGCTAACTGACCTGTTTTTTCAATCTTACCTGTCATCCCTTATTGTTACCTAGTATACCATTAGCGCGGGCTAGATTGCCATTGCTTTATCATCCAATAAAAAAATAACGCGGTGTGGTCCCGGCACAGAATGGACCACCCTTTCTTTTCCCGTGAGTGTTGTAAGAGGACATTAAGAGAACTTAATGGTCTAGGGATGGGCGGCAGCTTCTCTCTTAAAACATCACCAAACCATAACTGCATTTGCCAATCCGCCTGCCAAGAATGGCAACTATTGGCTAAATCCCCCAAGGGGAGGCCTATGTACATCAGTAGACTAGCTAGAGCCATGGCTAAAAGAGAACTCTTACAGAGTTAAGCTCGCCTATTGTACACTTTCATTTTCCCGTGTTTTTGATGTGCCAAGTACTAGAAAAAAGGTTTTATTTAACAATCCAATTTTAATAATGTGTCGGTCTTATAATAATGTTCAGCGTGGTGGTGCTCATCAAGTTGGCGAAAAACTTGATGATGTCAGAAGTTCAGCAATTTTCGTCACGACGTATATAAAATAATACATATTTTCCTCTGTAATTAATAGATAGTCTTTTTTGTTGTTACATAAATGGATATTATATACAAATCAGAGGGAGACTTTGTACAAAAGTCGTTTGCTTGAGTACCTCTGTCCCATTCGTGTTTCAACCGTAAAGCAGTTGTGTTTGCATGGCTGTGTTTCAGTTTGTAGGGGCGGGATATGGCGTGAATTTACTGGGTATAGAGGAATAACACCTGAGTCCTCAGGAATGGCAACGCATGGTGGGTATCATGGGTGAAACAGTATACTCTGTTATGTCCAAGGTACTGCTCATGTCTATAGGCGACGGTTACCACTTTCCATCAGGTGGGCCGTCAGCTTGTTTGCCATTCTAAGTTGTATAAAAAAAAAGTAATGTATACGCTTGGTATGTGTGTGTATATGTATATATACATATACATATGTTATTATACATGTGTTTGTATTTACATCTTTATAGTTGTTTATGTGTAAGTTAAATAATTTTTTGTTGTATAAATTATATTGTATTTACATACTTGTTTAGCTGTGTGTTTATGTTTTGATCATGCTGTGTACACATATTTTTGGAGGGTTAGCTTGAACAAAACATTATTGTACTGTATAAATTAATGTAACCATGTTAATTCTCTGTAATGTGTACCTATTGAAATAAAATAAAATATAATTTGTGTACAATAAAGTATAAATGAATGAATGAATAAATAAATGTTTTATCGTGCATACTGAGTTATCTGTGGCGTCGGCTGCCTATATTGCACTGGACAGTCGGCAGTCGCTTTGTTGCCTTGTTATCAAGTATTAAGATGCCACTAATCTATCAGACACGACGTGCCAGACGCCGTTTGTCTTTCCAATCGTTTTTTTTTTGATGGGTGAAAATGGTATGGTAACCCCGCCTGCGCTAACGGGATACGCTGGCGGAGCACCAGTGAAGGGTGATAGATGAGAATGAAAACAGGCCAGTTAGCCCATCATGATGAATTCATCAGGAATTAACCATGATAGTTTCCGAGAAGAACCGCGAGGAGATCGACCTGGTTGGGTATATTACTAGCAATGGGATTCTCAGTCTTCATTACTAACAATCCCTTTTCCCCTTCTTTTCAATCGTTTGCACACAGCAACAATGAATTTATTAAACAACTAATTTGAAAAATATGTCAATACTATCGGTTTCCGCCCGCGTGAATCGTTGTATAAAATATTCTATGTCATCGTCAACATTTCAGCCATTATTCGTCCACTGCTGGACATAGGCCTTCCCCATAAACTGCCATAATAAACGGTCCTAAGCCACTTGCATCCACTGACTGACTGCTTCTATGTATTAAAATATAATTTACCCATGTACCAAATTTCAATCGAAATCCGTTCAGCCGTTTAACATGATCGAGTAACAAACATACAAACATCTTTACAAACTTTCGATTTTATAATATTAGTGGTATGAATTTTTTTCCATGCAACTGCCGCCTGATAGCACAGGCGGGGTCATTGTTAATGCAGTTGGTGGAGTCTGGCGGAGTTCCAGTGGGTGGATGATAGGTGATGAATGAAAGCAGGTAGTTTTACTCACTGCGATGAATTCAACAATAGTTAACCACGATGATTTTCAAAGGAAACCGCGTGGAGGTCGACCTAATAGGGATTTTTTTAATGGGTGATGATGATAGATAACCCCGCCTGCGCTATCGGTATACACGGTATAGAAAGTTCTCAATTCGACTATCGACTAATTATATATCTAATAATATATAATATAATTCGAATATTTTTATTTAAGGAAGGAGCCGAGTGGGCCATGCCTACCACTGGATTGATTGGGGTCATTCTTTCGTAGCGTAACACAGTATATTGGGGGAAAGGGATTGTTAGCAATGGAGTTTGACAGCCCCATTGCTAACAATATGCCCTATTAGGTCGACCTCCACGTGGTTCTCCCTGGAAACCATTGTGAACAATTCTTATTGAATTCGACGATGGGCTAACTGACCTACTTCATCCTCACCTATCATCCTTCACTGACGCCCATCGGTGTATACCGATAGCGCGGGTGGGGTTACCATTTCATTATCATCCATTAAAAAAAAAACAGTATATTTTATCTTAATTTTTTATTTATTTTTTATTGACCACATTACAAAAAGAATGTTTGGTGCTAAAGACGGACTTTATACGGTTAAAACCACAGGATACAATTAACAATAAGCGATTGGCCACATATATATATATATACCGTCGCTCTACGAAAACTATTACATCGACATATCCGTGCAAATATCATAGATCATAAAAAACCTATTAGAATTATAATCACGAGCTCTGTTTTATTTTGTTATCTGTGTAGGAGGAGGTTTACTTTTAACAGAGGATTTAATTTTAGAACAAATATTGATATACATAGATACAAATGGAATTATGTAAATAAATTAAAAAAAAAAAGGTTTTATTTATTTTATTTTACGGTGTATTGACACGGTTACACGCAAAATAGATTAGAATATACTTTATTTATATTGTACTTGTTATATATGATATTAAAATTCCATGTACACACACACATACACATACACACACTCATACACTATTTATACATACACATTTATAATATTTTATTAGTTATGGGATTAGTATAAATGATATAAATGTGAAAATGAGTTTATTTACATATAAAGGTTTTATTGATAGTCTGCTAGCCTGTTTCGCGGAAACCTTTCTAGTAAATTCCTAGTCTATTTATTAAGGCGAACTGAATTAAATTTTATTTATTTGTAAATTCCTGGCATATATAAATGTCCTATATAAAAGATGCAGTCATACTTTTATTCTCTATAAATTCTGCACTAATTTGTATAATTATATAATTTGTATAATATATATAATCCGGATATTATTTTGTTCTTTTTTTAAAATTATGTGTATCATTTCTCACTGATAAACTGCTAGCGTAAAGCAACAGCGCAAGCAGTGTTACCATTCCATTATCATCCATTAAAAAACCCTGCCTGGCTTCATTAATTAAGATCGATGTTGATCTTACCCTACGTACTTCTATTTCTAATGTTGTAAACAGAGACAATTTTATTTATGTATTTATTTGAATTGCTTGATATCCTTTCGTCATGTAATATAAATATTTTTTATGTATTTATTATACACAGAAAGTAAATGAATTACTATAATTTTAATGGATAGATGTAAAAACTTCTCAAATCGTATGGGAAACTCATAATGACTTCCTTATATAATATATACATATATATATTTTAAAACTATCTTACATTGTTCAAAGTATAAATCCATGTGTATATATATATATATATATATATATAATATATATACATATACAATATATATACATATACACATGGATACAAAAATATTTATATTATACGACGACAGAATTACAAGACGACAGAAGTTTAGTTACGGACGGACTAAATAATGTCGCGTCATATGTGTATAGGATGCTATATAATTTTACAAGTAATTACTTATTGTTTGTTTATGCAACTTAGAATGGCAAACAAGCTAACGGCCCACCTGATGGAAACCGTCGCCTATAGACATGAGCAATACCATGGACATAACAGAGACTGTTTCGTCCATGATACCTAAAACCTGTAAATTCACTGCCATATCCCAATCTTATTTTAATGTCTATATATAAAAATATTACAGCTTTATGATTCCATCTACTGATTCTGCATATTATTCTGGATGATTTTTGTGGTGCAATTAAGAATAATAAAAAAAATATTACAAGGAGCCACAGATAAAGGATTATTTATTCTTAATCTAAGATACATAAAGAGGTGTCGTATCTGAGGTTTTATATCCGGCAATTTATGAGTCACTTGAATTATTTTTTAATCACCTTACCTAGTAAAAAGAAGCATACAGCGAAAATTTGCAATTTCCAAAAATACATTTTGTAAACGGCGCCCCCTTCAAAGTCCTTTTATCGTCTATAGAAAACGCCGTAAAATTAATGTTCGAATTCAAATAATTATTTTACTGCACTCATAATTTAATTTATTTACAACACTTCATCATATTAGTAAAATAGTCGTGACGTCCTTTTGTACCACTTTTTATCAAACGTCATAAATTATCGTATTAGTTTTTTTTTTCACAAAACATTAGCGCGGGGTTCCGTCAATTTTCATAGTGATCTCAGATAAGATAGTGTGCGTGTGAACGCTTTTATATGTCGCGAAAGACTGCCGGCGACTCAGAATCGTACAGTCTTCAGCGAGCTGTAATTCAGACGGTGCATTGTGTATTTCCTGATGAATAACATGAAAGAATTATTTGGACGCAGAGAAATTTATCGTGCCCCCCAACAAAACTTCATAATTAAAGAAAAATTATGTCTAAGAATTATGTATAATTTTTCGTTCTTCTTTATAATTATTTATCCAAAGGTTGTCTGCAAGAGAACGTTTTTAGCGATTAGGCCGGCATAATTTTCTCGATTTGCTATTTTCTTATTTTTTTTTTATCTAAATGTTTGCTAATGTTTGCTTGTCTGTTTTTTTTTTTTAATCTAAATGTAGCGATCTACTGTAGTTTTAAGGAAGAAACAATAAAGAGTATCTATGTCTTTATAAATGAACCTTAAAAAAACATAATAAGATTAATAGAAATAAGAATAAAAATTAAAATAATTTCTTGAAAAAATTAATCTTTATAGCGACCAAGTTATATCGTTGTATGATAAACAAATAATAATATTATTGATACGAAATATTGTTGTTGGCAGTTATTGGCAGTTTCTGTGAGTTATTTACGTTTTGACTGTATTATATTATTCCATACGTTATAAATTTTATCTAATATCAAAGTGAGTTTGTTTGTTTGTTTGTCTCCCCTTGGCGCCTTAATGGCTCAATTAATCAACATATAAAATTTTGCACATTGGTAAGAAATTATATCATCGTACTATCTGGATAAAAGCAAGACAGATAGTGTGGTTTCTTAGTCGCTATCTACCCCAAATAGATAAAGCGTGTACTTGTTATATTAAACATAAGTCTGCTGATATGTAACACCTTAAACAAATTATTATTTATTATATTATATAGTTTATTATTAAGTTCACTGAAATAAAAATTATTTATTATTTTTATTAAATAAAAGTAAATCTGAATAAAATCCCCGAAATATAAAAAAAAATAGTGCTGAATTATTAGATTATCGCTTAATTCAGCGGTCTTTCGTATATTCTTTTTTATGGGAACTACATACTCGTAAATTATAAGTTTGTAGTTAAATTGTAGTAAGCTTTGGTAATAAAAAAAATAATAATATTCAATTCGCCAGTTAATAATATCTACCGCAGATAGTGTAGTTAGAAAGCAAACCGTTGTTCAGATTACAATACCGTGTTGGAATCATTCCAAGATTCATTGAAAGGGATTTATGATGTATTTTTACCAGTTTCATGTGGTTTCATCGACTCGAGTGGAAATGCGTGAATAGGCAGTTATATTTTACAGACTACTTTTGAGTTCGTTTTTGAAATGACGTCGCAAATTTAACTTTACATATACTTAGCTATATTTATCCTTAATATTTTTTTTTTAATGGATGATAATGGAATGGTAACCCCACCCGCGCTATCGGTATACACCGGCGGGGCACCAGTGAAGGATGATAGGTGAGTATGAAGCACGTCAGTTAGCCCATCGTGACAAATTCAACAAGAATTGTTCACGATGGTTTCCAGGGGGAACCACGTGGAGGTCGACCTAATAAGGCATATTGCTAGCAATGGGGCTGTCAAACTCCATTACTAACAATCCCTTTCCCCCCTATCCTTAATATTAGAAGTGTGAAAGAGTGTTTGTTTTTTACCTCTACGGTTTAACCATTAATTTAATTTAATTTTATATATTTTTTTTTATGCAACTTTGAATGGCAAAATGGTTTTTATTTTGTGGGACACAATCTTTAGTTATTTGTGACAATTTGTATATTTATTTGAATATTTCTGTGGGAGGAAAGGGATGGTTAGTAATGAACTCTAAATGTCGTGGCTATCAATATATATAACCTATCAGGTCGACCTTTACGAGGTAACCTCCCTGAAAACAATATACAGGCGTGAATTCTGTTCCAGTTTTATCTATTAAGAAAAGTATGATTTCATTAAATTCTACAATATATATTGTCTGGTACCCACTCCAAGATGCAAACGGAGTTTTTGCACCTTGTTTAAACCGCCTGGAATTTACGCTAACACGTGTAGGTTCTATGTTATAAAACATTATTTTCCGATTATTTTCTGGCGTCATGCCCAATATTTCCATTCGTAGACAAATAGACGGTAAAAATTGTGTTTTATTGTTTACAAAAACATGAACTCTTTCAATTGAGTTGCGTGTATATACTTGTTCATTCATAATATTATTATTTCACGATATGTTTAGAATATGTTTAACGCAAGGAAAATTTGCCTGTCAAATAAATAAACATTAATCATAAATAGGTATTTTTTTAATGGATGAAAATGGATACGTAATCCCGCGTGTGTGATTTGTTTACGCTGGCGGGATTCCAGCGAAGCATGATAGATGAGGATGAAGGGAGATTGGTTGGCCCATAGTATCGAATTTACAGGAAATTGCTCTGTACAGGGGACCATGTGGAGGTCGTCCTGGCAGCAATTAGTACATTTAACTCCGTAAAAAAAATCCTCTGTAACTATGGAACCAACTCCAAGCAGTGGGAGGAAAGGGATTGTTAGTAATAGGGGTCTTTTTTTTGTTGGGTGAAAATGGTATGGTAACCCCGCCTGCGCTAACGGGATACGCGGGCGGAGCACCAGTGAAGGGTGATAGATGAGAATGAAAACAGGCCAGTTATCCTATCATGATTAATTTATCAGGAATTAACCATGATAGTTTTCAGCGGGAATCATAAGGAGGTCGACCTGGTTGGGTATGTTGCTAGCAATGGGATTTTTAGTCTCCATTACTAACAATCCTTGTCCCCCCCTAGTAATAGGGGTCTAAAAACCCTATTGCTAGCAATATATCCTAGGACTATCCTGTCATGGTTTCATTAAGTTCCGATAGTGTATTTAAAATATGTATAAACAACGTAAGTTTAAAATTACCTAAATAATTATAATATAATAATTTTTTAAATAATTTTTATCAATATCCTACCTATAATAAATAAATAAATAAATAAAAATTCATAACAATAGGTATATACGAACCTATTGTTATGAATTTTATTTTATTTATTTATTTATTTATTCTTTATTGTACACAAAAAATTACAACATATAATATATATAAAATAAAGATGTACAACAGGCGAGCTTAACTCTGTAAGAGTTCTCTTCCAGCAAACCCTGAGTGGAAAGGAGTATTAATTTTACAACTTTTTATAAAAAAAAAAAATTCGACATGCAAATATTTAAATTACAAATGCGGAATCACTCTTCGCTCAGCCGTTTTCATTTAAACAGGCCATCAATATCTGAGATTCTCGAAACGTAAAAATGTTGCTTTAGCCGATTTTCTAGTGCTATTCCGCAGTCGGTTGCCAATTTATTTTTTGGTGGTTTAACCTAGTATTCAATGAAATATAAAAATGACCTAATTCACAGGTGCGAGTTGAACTCACATATGAGGGTTTTTTTAATGGATGATAATGGAATGGTAACCCCGTCTGCGGTATCGGTATAGAATAGCAAAGTAACAGTAAGGGATGATAGGCGACGATGAAAGTATATCTGTTGGCCCATCGTGATTAATTTAACAAGAACTAACCACGGTGGTTTCCAAGGCACTTTCTTCCACGCACAACCATTCTTTGGAATCAACTTCCAGCAGCAGTATTTCCGAACCGATACGACAACATAACCTTCAAGAAAAGAGTATATTCCTTTTAAAAAAGGCCGGCAGCACACCTGCAATGCTGCTGGTGTTGTGGGTGAGCATGGGTGGCGATAGTCACTTACCATCAGGTGAGCCGCATACTCGTTTGCCCCCTGTGTTGTAAAAAAAAAAAAGAAACCGCGTGGAGGTCGACTCCTTAAATACACCCATGATATGTCTAGCTCCAATTTATTCATTTAAACGCCTTTATTACAACTATATTTTATGCATGCAATATACAAGTCCATAGCTACAAATGAAAAGAAAACAATCTCTAAAATCTTCCATCAATCACATAAAACGGTCATAACACAATGTAAGCGAACACCGGTGTTTGTGAGATACCATAATTGAGAATCAATGACGATGACGCCGTAATGGTGGCAGGGACTATGATTAATTGCCGCGCGGCTGACTCGGCGACAGGCGCGTGTGAGCGTCGCATACGGTGTCGACGAGCGACGGTGGTCACCACTTGATATGAATGTATGCACTTTTTTTTCTTTTTTCATTTAAGAGTTTCCTCTTGTCGGTGCAACTAATTCATGCATCTTCCTCCAGCCAGCTCTATCCCAGGCCATATCCTTTATCTTCCTATACGACGTGACACCTAGTGTTTCCTCTATCTGTCCCATGTAGTTATTCCTCGGTCTTCCTCTTCCTCTTTTGCCCTCTATCTTTCCTTCTACTATGCTCTTAAAAAATTGTCATGTCGTATAAGGTGGTCCAGCATTTTGCCTCTTCTATTCTTTATTATTTCATCATACGCACTATCGGTAGGTAATTAGATAGGTACGGAGATATAAGCTAATAAGATTACGCTCAAATACATAGATGGTATGATTTATTTGCATTACTTACAGCACACAAATACCAACATAGCTCTATGCGTATATGTCGTGGCGAAAGGCGCGTGTGAGTGTCGCATACTATGTTGACGAGCGACAGTGGACACCACTTGATATGAATGTATGCACTATCGGTAGGTAATTAGATAGATACCGAGATATAACTTAATAAGATTGCGCTCAAATACATATGTTGAAAACTGCGACAATTACAATGCAAATGCGGCTAAACTATTATATATTTATAAGGAAGACTCGATAAATAAAATACATATTATGTTTTCAAATCCTTTTTTTTTTATAAAATTAGAATAGAATCAAGAGAATGCATTATATTTTTAATAGTAAAAAATTATAAGTGGCCAGTACGTGCAATAATAAAAAGAGTTCAGCAGTGGACAGTTAAAGGCTGATATAATATTAATAAATAATTATAAAATAATTACTTTGCAACGGGCCGAAGTAGCCCGAAAGAGAGAAACAAGTAAATAAATAAAACTAATT